ACAGACATGACAATAGTACCACTGTAGAGCGGGGACGCTGATCTCAATTAAAGCAATGAACCTTTTTTCAGGTTTCATAGCATAATTTTGAGCACTCTTAACAAATTTTAAGTGTTTTCATCCTAAGTCCCAGACCAGAGCTTGTTTGAGCATGTTGAAAAACGTAGTGTTAAGCAACGAAAATGTATCATGCATGCATATTTGAACTTATAAGATGTTAATGAAACTGTTTGATTAATATGTTTTGAGTCGCTACCGAAGCATTTTAACGAGTTTACTTAATAGATTCCTCCCAAAAAATTGCAAGTCCCGTGATGGTGGAGGTTATGGCGGCGTCATCCGTGCTGCCACCTGTGGACGGACATAGTAACTACACCAGTGAGCGCGCGGGCGTTTAAAATGTACCTTTTATCGTCACACACTTCTCCCCCATTACTCTGAGATAAAAGCACGAACTGATTTTGAAGAACTACCCTGGTTTGGTTAGAGAACGAGTTTCCTACTTAGCACAAAATTTATTTTGTGTTCATAGTTTCCCTTGTTTATCACTTCACTTCGTGGTCTATTGTACTGAATATCATGGTTTCGCATGTTTACACATTTGCAAAATGGCTTAATTTTGTTTATAATTTTTCGTTTCTTTCTTTCTTTTCTTTTCTTTGATCTTTTTTCCTCCAGTTCCTCCCAAAATTATTCCATTTACTTTTGGTGAAGACGCATTCTTAACTGGACAATCAGTAAGTGTCCAATGTGTGGTGTCAGAAGGAGACCTCCCAGTACGTCAACGGTGGTCCATTAATGGACAATATGTGTCCATGTCCCTCCACGATGTCACCATCAGCCGAATTAACAGACGGATGAGTGTTTTGGCTATAGAATCCGTCAGTGGCAATCATGCAGGGAATTATTCTTGTGAGGCCAGCAATGATGCTGGCGTGTCTCGACACTCAACTGAACTCATAGTAAATGGTTTGTGGCCTGTGCAAACTCCAATGCTCGAGTGATCCAATGAGCTTAGCGCCCATTTTCTTGTGTTTGTGGGTGCATGGAGTGTTTTCTTCTGCTCTCATGACACGGCATTCTATTGTCCTAAAAGAAAACTGTTACCAAATGACAAATAATGTTCAGTTGAAGAATTATCAGTTGTTTTTCATTTGAACATGTCCCTTGTAATCAGCTAAATGGACTAATGCCAATGTCTGGGATGTTAACTATTGAGTGTCTGTGTTGTTTTTGACTAACTTCATTCTGTTTTGGGTCCAGAAGACCTCCCTTTGTGTCCATCATTCCTTTCCTCCCTTCTCTACCATTCCAGTCCAAATCATGATATGTATTCCTCTTCCTCTCATGTCAAAAACTCTAATTAGTTGAATTTCTCTTTCTTTGTAGTTGGTCCCAAAATTATTCCATTTTCATTTGGAGAAGAGCAATTTTCTAGTGGAATGTCTGCAACATTACAATGCACTGTCTCGGATGGTGAACTGCCTCTCAGATTTCGTTGGTTGATCAATGGGAGGGTTGTGTCTCGAGCTCTTCATGATGTCTCCGTGACTCGTATAAATCACCGCCTCACCCTGCTTACTATTGAGTCAATGACAGGCAATCATGCTGGAAACTACACCTGCGAGGCAGGAAATAATGTTGCCACAACACAATACACCACGCAACTTGTTGTGAATGGTCTGTGGACAACTCATCTGCTTTCTACAGAGATGAGGCATTTTTGTGTATTGTTCTGATGTCCTAACAGAGGCGGTGGTTTCGTGGGTTGCTTGATTATCTTCTCTTGTGCTGTGGGAACAATGAGGCTGCTGGAACATGGGCCTGACAATGTGTAATTATTTCCTCTTAATACTTACACTAACCCGGTATTAGGGCTGGAAACTGATTCACTAATATTAAATGCAAATTATTTTTCAGGTGCTCCCCTAGTTATGTGTTAAAGACATTAAACCAAACTTTTCAATTTTTATGCAATTTCAGTTCCTCCAAAAATATCTCCTCTTTCCTTTGGGGAAGACATTTTCCAAGAAGGAGAGTCAGCTACTTTGCAGTGCACAGCATCTCATGGGGATCTCCCGATAAATTTAGCATGGGAGTTCAACGGCCAGCCTTTATCAGAGGACAAGTTGGGAGTATCAATTTCCGCTATGGGGAAGCGTGTCAGTGTCCTCATGATTGAGCCAGTTTCAGCAACTCACATGGGAAATTACTCCTGTTTGGCTAGAAATAAAGCCGGCTTGGCAGTGGAAACTACCAATATGGCAGTGAATGGTGTGACTCGATCATTTTAAATTATTATTCACTTTGATGTTTCCAGCACGCTGTAATCTGATTAGAAAGCATGCCTGAATGTAGAGGCTCTAGGTGTATTTGTGTTGGAATTGGAGGCCCTTTCTCTTTCCCTTGGAAGATCCTGATGCTTTTGTCTCTTGTGTGTAATGATACTGCAAACACACTTGCACATCCGTTATCTCTTCTTTCAGTTCTTCCCAAGATTGTGCCATTTGAGTTTGGAACAACACCGATCTATGCAGGACAAGCAGCTCAGATAACTTGCTTTGTTCCTGAGGGGGATCAGCCTTTAGAACTTTTTTGGAGTTTTGGAGGGGAAATAGTAACTGCTAAGGAAGGAATCCAGACCAACAAATTTGGCCGCACCAGTACTCTCCTCATTGATCCCACATCTGCAGCCCACACAGGAAATTACACTTGCATTGCTAAGAATGATGCCGGTGTGGTCAATCATACTGCTGTCTTAGATATTTTTGGTATGCTGAAATTTCTAAAAAGCATGTAGGAAAAGGTGTTCTGTGCAGGACAGAGCCTTCAGCATGTATCTGAAACACTCCCTCTATCTTTGTATGGAAATGTGCACAGTGCCAAAGAGCAATGCGCATGATGACAGATTTTGGTGTTTGGAAGTCTTAATGTGGCATGTTGTTTGTACAGAACTGTTTGTCAACTAACTGCTTCCAGACTTAATGTTTTCAGTCTTTCTGATCAGAAGAGTGTACTTAATTTTAGGGGTATTTAGTGTGGAAACCATTGATCTCATATACAAATAATGTATTTCAGTTGAACCTAAAATTCAACCTTTTGGATTTGATGATGATGGAGTAATGGGAGGGACATCTACTCGCCTCATGTGCGTCGTACTTGCTGGAGATCTACCTATGGATATACAGTGGATGAAGGATGGGGAGAAAATTGAGAGGAGTAATGCAAAAGCTCACCGTCTAGACGACTATACAGTCATCATATCTCTATCTCAATTGTCCTTGTCAGACGCTGGTTCTTACTCATGTGTAGCATCGAATGAGGCAGGCACAGTGAGCCATTCTTCAGAACTGAAAGTGAAGGGTATTTGTTCCTACTCCAATCAGTTTTCTTAGTATCTAGACAAGTTTTCTTAGATATGTGGTGTGCATACCTGTCATGTTTCTTTATATTTTTTTGCTGTTGTTGTTTTCTACTTTGCATATAGCTTTTATCTTTACGGCAGTGGTTTCCACACTCCTTTTTTTCTTTTTATCAACATTTACCACTTTCACCAATAGCTACCAGGAGAGGTTTTGCAGAACTTTATATTTTGAAACTACACAAGTATTATTCTTATCTCTTTCAGAGAAACCTCAGATTGAACCATTTTCCTTCAATACTCAAGGAGTTAATGGGGGAACCACAGCGAAGCTGATGTGCACAATTTTAGCTGGGGACCTACCACTTCAGATCCGGTGGCTGAAGAATGGTCATCCTCTTTCATCTGACTCAAAACGAACACAACAATTAGATGATTTTACTTCTATCCTTTTACTTTCGCGACTCACACTTGATGATGCGGCTAATTATACTTGTGAAGCTCAAAATGATGCTGGAATGTCAAGTCATTCCTCAGTCTTACGAGTCAAGGGTACAAATTGTTTCGTCTCATAACTTGCCTGCCTTTAGCACAGTTTTTCTTTGTTTAGATCATTTTAATTTTCATCTGAGGTAGCTAGAATATGCGTTTCACAGCAGTCTTTGTTGTGAATGATTAATGTTAGAAAAATGTGTTTTCAGTTGTTGATCCCTTTTCTCATTGCGTTGTTAGTTTGTTTACTTTGTCGCAAATCAACGTTTTTCCTCAGTGTCATCAAAAATATTGGAGGGTGCAGGGCAGGGTGCATACATTTGAGTGGGGGTAAAAAAGAATTTTGGAAGAAAACATTCTGGAATTATTTGACATGTCTGTTGTTAACAATCTCTCACATATTATTCCTCTTGTTTCTAATGTTTTTAGAATGACGACATTGATATCTTATGTTAACATATGGAGTGCACTGCATTTTTCGTGCCTATAATTTAATAAAGGGGAGCGTTATCTCAACGTGGTCATGCCAAACGCGATGTGTTAATTAATTTCAGAAAGCACAGTAATTTATTTAGTTTTTATTTACTTTGTCCCTTCTAGAAATTCCATCCCTTCTGCCTCTTTCATTTTCCTCTGATTATGCGAGCGAAGGCGACTATGTACAGCTTACTTGTGTGGCTACCAAAGGGGATCAGCCAATGACATTTTCTTGGACACTAAGTGAAGAACCAATCATACCATCCATGGGCATATCTGCTGTGGCAGTAGGACGACAAACAAGTTTACTAATTGTTCAAAGTGTCACTTTCCGACATGCTGGAATGTACACATGTCTTGCCTCCAATGAATGGGGCCAAGCACATCGATCTGCAGAACTCATTGTGAAGGGTACCCTATCCACTTTTGTTTTAGCTTGGTCACATTATTATTTCCCCTTTGTAGCGTACACATCCCAAGTAATGGTGACTTTTTAAATTTTCAAAATATCTTCACATGCCAATGTTAAAATGCTGTATCTTCCTGATTTCAGAGTGCAATTAGATTCTTTCATGTATTTTGTTCACAGTGTCAAGGTGAACGTTTTCAGTAGAATTGCTTTTGTTTTGACTCTAGAGGAATTGTCAAGTTCTTTCTGTTATCCGCAGATTCTTTATTTTCCTTTTTTTTTGAGAAATGCCACTGCATTTTTTGATTTTGATGTCTACACTTTCAAACAATTATTTGTTTTGCCTACAGCTATTCCAGAGTCAGATGGGTCCTTTCGTTTTGTCTTTGGAATTGTGGTTCTCTTGCTGATTTGCGTTGTCAATTGAGCAATATTTTGTCAGTTTGTCATCATTTTGTGGGTTCTCTTTCTGCTGCTCCATTCAATTTTCCTCGTCAACAAATTCTCATTGTTTCTTGAACATCGGCCAACCTCTCAAATCCCTACAAAATCTCCTGTCAGCTCAGTGCACACCTAAACAATATCCCAACCCTGTCCCTTCCTTTCCCTAATTTTGCTTTTTCTCCTAGTTTGGCTTGGTGTAAGTGGTTGACCTTGTAGTACAACTGGCATGAGTTCTAGTGTTATAGTTATGATTTTCATATTTTTTGTATCCTTTTCTTCCTTTCCCTGTTATCCTATCCTTTTGATTTTCCTTATTTGGGTTAAAGTTTAATTTTTCTTTTCAAATTGTGATCTCAAACAGTTGTAGTGGATGAGTATCTGTAATGTGGTATATTGTATGTCTTTAGTGTATTTGTCAAAAATTGTATTTGTAAAAAAAAATTAACAAATTTTGCATGGAGTTTATTGCATGTGTAACATTTGCTTGATGCATTTTAAAACTCTTGCTGCTTGCATGTGGTTAGTGAGTTTTCAACTACTAGCAGCTATGCATGCCTGGTTTTCACCATTTTATTTTTTAATTTAATTTTAAGTGTAAATTCTCTCAATCTTTAAATAATTTATTTATGCTTTCATGACTTAGCTTTCATTTTCCTTAAAAAATTCAAAGTTAAACTGAAATTACATAATTAACTCGTAAAATATTCAAATCACATTGAGAGTAAAAACTTGCTATATGATTTTGCATGGATTGAATGAAGTTTAGGTCATCTACTCCATTCAAGCTGCAATATCATAATTATTTTTTTAACTTCACCCACACTCTATAGTATGGAGGTGGTTTCAGATTAGTAAACTAATCCTTGTATCATGTTCTGCTACAGTTCCACCCCGATGGATCCTTGAACCTACTGACAAGGCTTTTGCTCAAGGCAGTGATGCCAAAATTGAATGCAAAGCTGATGGCTTTCCCAAGCCTGCTGTAACATGGAAGCGAGCTGCAGGTATGTCTTGTTTTGTGACACCCTTGCCAATTTTTAAATGTGAGTTATGTTACAAATATTTGTTGTCTAACCATCCTTTTTTTTTAACAGGTGACACTCCTGGTGACTACAAAGATTTGAAAATGAATAATCCCGATATCAAAGTTGAGGATGGGACATTGTCCATCAACAATATCCAGAAAAGTAGCCATGGTTATTACCTCTGTGAGGCTGTGAATGGTATTGGATCTGGGCTATCTGCTGTTATTATGATCAGTGTACAGGGTAAATAGTTAGATATTCTCAATGACACTTCATCTGAATTCAATTCAATTTTTAATTTCACCTTACAATGTTTTCTGCTCAGCTCCTCCCACATTTGACGTTAAGCTCCGCAATCAGACTGCCAGGCGTGGAGAACCATCTGTACTCCAGTGTGAAGCAAAGGGTGAGAAACCCATTGGGATCTTGTGGAACAAAAACAACCAGCGTATTGACCCCACCAACAACAGCAAGTATGTATTTTTTTCCGGCATTGTGTTTTGTATTTCAGACAACTTTTTTTACAAACAATTTTTCAATTGAAAGGTACACAATCCGTGAAGAAAACTTACCTGACAGAGTTGGCTCAGATCTAAGCATCAAACGTACTGAACGTAGTGACTCTGCTCTCTTTTCTTGTGTAGCAACTAATGCCTTTGGCAGTGATGACACAAGTATCAATTTAATAGTTCAGGGTTTGTATTTTATATTTTTACTCTTTCAACATTTAATCACAATGCTTTGTAAAATTTAATTTATTTACATTCAACATGGTTTTTTCTTTTGCTTTAACAGAGGTTCCGGAAGCTCCGTATGGTTTGAAGGTCTTAGATAAATCAGGACGCTCTGTACAGTTATCATGGGCTGCACCTTATGATGGGAATTCTGCTATCAAGCATTACCTCATTGAACACAAAGTATCTAAAGGTAACAGATTTTATTTTTTTCAATCCCTTGAATGTATTTCACGCTCCTGCAGGAATGATCATGACTTTCACACATCTTTTCTAGGTTCTTGGGAAATGGACATTGACCGTGTACTTGTACCTGGACAACAAGTGATCGCACATGTCATCAATTTACGACCTGCTACTACATACCACGTTCGCATAGTTGCTGAGAATGAAATTGGACCATCTGACCCCTCCGACACAGTCACTATAATCACTGCTGAGGAAGGTGTGTTTCCCTTTTTTAAGATTTTTTTTAGTTAAGCAAGACTTGGTGTTTTAAAATATTTCACACTTAAAAAAAATATTGTGCTTTCAGCCCCATCTGGACCACCAACAAATGTACGAGTTGAATCCACTGATCAGACCAGCCTCAAAGTTTTGTGGAAACCACCAGAAAGGGAAGAGTGGAATGGAGAAATCCTTGGATACTATGTTGGATACAAACTTGCCACCTCTGACAAAAAGTACATTTTTGAAACAGTTGAATTTTCAAAAGAAGAGGGAAAGGAACATCATTTAGTTATTAATAACCTGAAGTGAGGATTTATTTTTATTTTATCTTTCTTCCTCCTTTTTTTTGCTTCAGTTTCTGACCCATATAAACTTTTAATTTATGCAGAACCTACACACAATATTCGGTTGTCATCCAAGCCTTCAACAAAGTAGGTGCTGGTCCAATGTCAGAAGAAGTTCGCCAGTACACAGCTGAGGGAAAACCAGAAATGCCTCCTACTGATACGACATGTACAACCCTCACTTCTCAAACGATACGCATGCGCTGGGTGTCACCTCCACTCACCTCAGCTAATGGTGTTATTCAGGGCTACAAAGTTGTTTATGGACCAACAGACACATGGAATGGTACAGAGTACTGCTTACTAAGATATAATGTTCTTAATTTGATCGTGTATACAGATTAATTTTAGATGATTGGAAACAATACCAGAAACTCCTTGACCATGTTTTTTTCCCCAGATGAGAGTACAAAACTCACGATGAAAACATCATCCAGCGAAACCATTCTTCATGGACTTCAAAAATACACCAACTACAGCATGATGGTCCTGGCTTACACATCTGGTGGTGATGGCGTCGCCAGCAGTCCAATCCATTGTCAAACAGAGCAGGATGGTAAACTGTCATTCATAACTTTGGTCAGTGAATAGCTTTTCTGTGCTCTGAGATTATTCTACATTTTTATTTTCTATTTTTCTAGTTCCTGAGGCCCCAGCTGCTGTGAAGGGTTTGGTGAAATCTGAAGAGTCTGTGCTAGTCAGCTGGAAGGCGCCCGCTAGACCAAATGGAGCAATATCTCAATATACAGTATACATGCGAGCTGGTGAAGAAGATGGGAAGGAAGTTGTAAGTTTGCCTAGAATTTTCTGGTCCCTTTCAAAGTTGAAAACAAGCAAAACAGTTAATTTCTTCGTGTTTTTTCCCCCTTTAGAAAAAGAATACAGTAGAGTATTCAGAAACCAGCTTTGAGACTAAGGATTTGAAGAAGAATGGACAGTATGAATTTTGGGTCACTGCAAGCACTGTTATGGGAGAGGGTCCTCCATCAAACTCAGTTATGATTGCACCAAATACACGAGGTTTGGATTCCTTATCAACATTTATATGCTTAAATTCTCATTGTAGCTGTTAAATTGACCAAATAAATGACTCATTAATTTTCAGTTCCTGCCAAAATTGCATCCTTTGATCGTACGTTTACTGGCAAATACCGTGAAAATCTGAAGCTGCCCTGCCTTGCTGTTGGGCTTCCTGAACCAGAAATTAAGTGGACAGTAAAAGGTCAACCTGTAGCTCCTGGAGAAAATTCACACTTCCGCATTGCTGATGGAGGTCTTACGGTCATGGGAGTGACTCGTGAAGATGCTGGAGAATATGTTTGTTCAGTAGAAAATAGCTTTGGAAAGGACACAGTTACTCACCAACTTGTTGTTCATGGTTTGTTTCATGCACTATATGTTTTAACCACCTTTACAGCAGTTTCTTGGATAATATTTTACCACATTGTGTGTTTGTGTATACAGCTCCCCCTCACACTCCCCAAGTCACCTTGGCCACTGCCACAACTAATTCCATTACAATGAAGCTAAAACCACATGCTTCTGACAAGGAACCCATCAGTGGCTACACCGTACGCTACAAGCCAGAATATGGTGACTGGGAAACTGTGCAGGTACCAGCTGATGAGGCAAAGTACACTATTCAAGAACTTGGATGTGGTTTGAAATACCAGGTTGTTGTAAATGCCTTTAACAGGTAAGTCAAATAATTTTCTTCTTTATACACACTTGCTTTGATACAATTACTTTATGATACATTCTGAATATTTACTTTTCCTCCTCAGCATTGGAACTGGTGATGAAACTGAAGTTTTTACTGCTTCAACAAAAGGCTCCAAACCCATTAGTCCAGAAGCTCGTAACTTCATAGAAGTTCAAAGTACATCCATAACCCTGCATCTTGGTGCATGGCAGGATGGTGGCTGCTCAATGAACTACTTTGTCATTGAGCACAAGAAAAAGTAAGTTCCCTTAGTTGACCCACTATTTGATAAATACTGTATATATTTTCAGGGGTATATGTATTTGTTTGACAGGCGATAATCTTTGTGCCCCAATCATGTTTGTAACTTCAAATTGGTCATCAAGTATTATAATAATTACTACATACTTGTTTCATTTTCAGGAATGCCAAGAACTGGAACCAAGTTGCAAATAATGTCAAACCTAATGCTAACTTCCCAATTGGGGATTTGGAGCCGGCAACCTGGTATCATCTGAAAATTACTGCCCATAATAATGCTGGATTCACAGTGGCCGAATATGAATTCGCTACACTGACCATAACTGGAGGTAATGTTGAGATTGTTCTAATTCATTATTCATTTTATAACTGGTATACTTCTTAAAAGTTTTATCAGGTAACTATCAAGTTGTTTTTTGTACTTTTAATCCACCTGAAATATTCCAAGGCTATTTTAGTGGGTCAGATTTGTATATTTCAATTAAATTTACAACTCAAACATTTCCAAACAACATTAGGGTTTAGGAGGAAACTTAAGCTAATTCCTTGGAATGTTTCAGGTACTATTTCCCCGCCTAGAGACATGACTGAGAGCAATGCTGAATCCCCTCTGACATTCCTTCTTGCAAATTTGAATCTGGTGGTGCCAGTGGCTGCTGCGACTTTGGTCATCATCATCGCTATCATAGTTATTTGCGTCATGAAGGGGAAAAGCTCTCAAGATAAAGGTGAGCAAAAAAATGTTCCAACAATTTTATTTTATTTTCCAGGAACTATTGCCCCACCAGAGCGAGGCCTCATCAGTGTTAATCAGTATTTCCCTTGGATACCTGAATGGATGGACCTGAATATTTTGGTGCCTGTGGCAGCAACCATTGTAGTTCTTTTGGTCGGCATGATTGTTATATGTGTGGCAATTTCTCGCCGCTCTCGTGGTCCAGAACAGACCCGTCTGCGAGGTACTCCTCTATATGTATTACAGCACATATTTTGCTGTGCAAAAGGAGCCTTCACTACTTATATTGATTGTTTCCCCTACTTTTTAGTTTTAATTGTCTATACCTCCTCTTTTCCTTAAACACTCTTCTAAGTTTATTGTTCTCCTTTTCAGACGACATGGTATACAACCAGTCTATGCCTGGTAATACAGCTACAATGGGCAAGCAACGTCCTGATCTTCATGATGAACTGGGCTACATTGCACCGCCTAACCGAAAGTTGCCTCCAGTTCCTGGATCAAATTACAATACCTGTGATCGTATCAAGAGAGGTACTAATATAAGTAAGGCCATCGCGGGGGGACCGCGTTTCTATCAATTCCATTTCACATATTTGCCTGCTGTTGTTTCCATTGGCTGCTGATTGTTGTTGCTGTTTCCTATCTGAATCAGACACCCATCTACAACCTGTATGTAGAATTAGAGATGGGATTTAATTTTCTTGACATTTTCTTAAAGCCTTCAACCAGTGCTTTTTCATTAGATTTAAAAGAACCGCTTACAGGTTGACACAGCACTGGTTATATGGGTTCTTACATCATAAAAAAGCACTAGACTTCACAGGTCACGTGAAAAGAGGGTTTTCCAAAATTTCCATGTAACAAGCTATATTTTGTAGTATCTTAGCACCACATCCACTTTTCCTTTTTTCTTTAATCTCAAACCTCTGGAACCCTGTTTAGTCAACTCCGTTGAAAGGTCATCTGCATGAGGGTAAGGATGAAACACTGCTCCTGTTGCCGCTCTGCTTAGTGATTGATGAAACAACATTTTGTTGTTAGTTTTTTTACTCTTCATAATTATTTTTCCCAACAATGCACACTAGATCAATGTTCACTCTAGAAATCTAATGCCTCACTGATGGAAGAAACACAATTTATGCACCACCCTAATTACAAGTGTGGTATGGGTGTCATTGAAAGATGATGTCAAAAAGGACAGCATCCTTAAAAGTCAAGTGGTCTTTGGTCTTCGCAGTGTGGAAGGAAACTCTTTGTCCCCCTCGTGATTGCTTCAGCATTACTATTATTTGTTGTGAAAAATTAAGAGCAAGTGAGGTATTGTGATACAGCTCTCTCTCTGTCTCACTACCAACTTCTTTAATTGTAAGCAAACATATACTATTCTTGTAGCGCATACAATGCATCAACTTTCCTCCTATAAAACTACTGCTAGTCAGTTCGGCTATTCTCAAAACCAACTCAACCAGCTGCATGAGATTTTTCACTTACCTGCAGTGATTACTGGTTGCTTCTATTTTGGAGGGAAGGCTACTAGTCCTGTATATTTTGCTGCGTCTGCTTGATGCTCTCCACCCTGGGGCCAGGCGCCCCGCTGCTCCATCCCTCACGCCCCTATCTGTTAAATCAGGTCATTCAATCAGAAGCCCGCATGCAACATGGGACCCTCGCCGGCACCTGTATGAGGAGCTAAGTCTACACCCACCTGGGGTTCGGAGACTTCCCCCCTGTCCCGGCTCCGATGGAACTGTCAATGGCAGAGGTATGAGAAGAACTTTTCCCTTATTTAAATGTTTCACTTCCATATTGACTGTTTGGTGGAAGTTCACATACTATAATATAAAATATCAAGTTCCATCTTTGATTAAATTAACAAAGTAATCTGGGAACCTTGTCATCTATATTGATTATTATTGACTGGTGTTGTATTCAGTTGATGCTTATTGTAGCATTTGTGGTTTTGTTGTTTCTTGACCTAACTGACACTGACAATTTATTGCCAAGAGCACAGTTGAAACTTACTTAAATCTTAAATGTCAGTTCATTTAATCTTCATTCCAATACCTTTTGATTTTTAATGCTTCTGTGAAGTGTTAAAATAATTAATGAACTTTTAGAATCATACCCTGTTTAATACCCAGTGAGAAATGACAAGTCGAATCGACATCGTTTCGACAAACATTTCTTACTGGGATCTACTTTTATATAAGCCGATGCTTTAAAATTGCTGTGAAAATATTGTACTCAAATAGTTTTGATTTGTGTCTTTGGGCATATCAGAAACTCCTCAGGCTAAATCAGGTGAGTTGTGTGCAGTTCTTTGCAAAGTAGTGCTAATAAGGTGCTTTCTCCCCTTATTTTGTATTTAAAAAAAAGTAGAACTTCAATTTTGCACAGTTGTATTAGTCATTGCACTTCTGCTTCTGTTGTACAATGCTGTCATTTTGGCTTGTATTTTCAATATGTACTGAACAACAGTGAACATTCATTTAATGCATCAGTGTTATGTCTTTTTCAGTCTCTTTACTAACTTTCTCTACATTATTTTTATTTTCTCACTCCTGCTCGGGTTGACCCATCAGCTAAGAGTGCAGTGTAGCCAAGGGGAAAAAAATTAGTCCTTACATTTTACTAATCCTCTTTGATCCCTCTCTCATTGTAAATATTTGTAACTGAATAAGTGAGATTCTTTTCTCTATAAATCTATCGGATCACCATCATTATTTCACACTGACTTTTTCTATTGTTTCTTGAGACCCCAATCTATAGATTGCAGAACTAGTTTGTTCTATATACTTTCATCAGTAATTATTTTTATTTAAATTTTTTGTAGGTATGGAAGATGAAATATGCCCCTATGCAACGTTCCACCTTCTTGGTTTCCGTGAAGAAATGGATCCCTCAAAGGCCATGCAGTTCCAGACATTCCCCCACCAAAATGGAACTGGTCACTCAGGAACAATTGGACCGGGTGGAATGGTCAATGGAGGCACTATGGGCCATATGCATTCTCGATCTGGATCACAGTCAATGGTTTGTTTGGTTTTTAAAATGTTGCTTGATGGGTGCATAATTTTTGACAATCATGTACTTATATTTCTGTATACTCACAGCCGAGAGCTAACGGCCGCTACTCCCGCGTTGGTAGCCAGGGAGGTCACAACAACACGTTTTCTCCTGAATATGATGACCCAGCCAACTGTGGTGATGAAGAAGACCAATATGGAAGCCAGTATGGTCCTTATGGTAATCCTTATGATCATTATGGAAGCCGTAATTCTGTGAGCCGACGAAGTGTTGGTAAGTAATTATAGTGATATCTATATTATTAATGATAAAAATGTAAATATTATAAATTATTTTTAATTTTACCTGTAGGATCTGCAAGGAATCTACCAATGTCAAGTAGCCCAGAGCCACCTCCGCCACCACCTCGCAATCATGATCCTAATGATTCAAAGGATTCCAATGAAATTTCAGAGGCAGAATGTGATCGTGATCAACTTGTGAACCGCAGCTACGGTGGTAAGTAAAGTCTTTCTCTTAAGACTTGAAAGTGTGTGGGAATGCCGGAATTTTAAAGTCAAAGATACCCATGAAACAGCTAGGATTTTCAAACACTGCTAAAGTATGTAGGGCATGCATTCTGCACTTTATCTAGGGTACTATAGGTGTATAAAATCTATTTTGGGGCACTTCTGTGTCAGCAACAATCCATAAGTACATGAGTTCCCATTCCTTTTTAAATGCATCTTTTTCCTTATATGCAAAACTTGCTCGGAAACAAATGTGCGTGACAAGAAAAAAAAACCTATTAATCAATTCCTCCATATATACTGCCCTATTGTCAGTTTACCTTGTGCTATAGCCTTGTAATTTTTAAAACACATTCCCATACTCTGGGTAAGTTTTCCAATTTGAAGAGTGGTACAATTTGAAGCATGAAGTAAAACTTGCTCAGTAGACACCATTAAATATACAGTATCTCCCGTTTGTAAGCTTTATTTTGTGTCAAAGACACATTGACACAAGGTATTTAAATGTGTGGCATTAGCTTGAATTTAACTGTAAAATCTGTATTTTTGGTTGTTTTGTATTTTTTTTCACATGTATTAGATCTATTATTTGAAAGTTGAAACACCCCCTTAAATCATTTTGAATTCTTGGGCAGATCCTTAACTTTTTCAAACCCTCCAATCATATTATAGTATTCACTTACACATTAATAGTTCATTTTGATACATGTTGTGAATACGCTGATATCTGATTATTTATGGTTTAGTCTGATATCACTCCTAGAATGTATTTTTGTCCTATCCATCAAATTATTTTTTCAATTTATTCTTTGTTGTTTTAAATTATGAAATTGTATAAAAAATGAAATGTATGATTTATACCTTTTGCTTAATTATTTGAATGGTGACAGGTGGTTTTTGTGTTTATCTTAACCTGTTTAGGCATATGTAACTAACTGTGTGTTTGTGTTTGCTTTTTGAGGAAGTCTTTGTGGCAATTTTGGTGACAAGATACAACTTACAACCTTTTTGTGCACTTTTCCGCAACACTTTCTTCATGATTTCTCATGCACTTTTCTCTGACCCCAAAGAATACTCTTTAGCTTATAAATATGCAAATATTTTTTTTTTGTTGCAAAACATTATTTTTAGTTTTTTTTTTTCTTTAGCTGAACTCTTTTGGAACTACAACTGGCAAAATTAATTGTATAATTGTAAAATTAACCAAGACTAGAATGGCCCTCACTTCATGAGAGGCTCCTTTTTCATCTTGTCTTGTTCTTTGGCTGCACTGCTTATCTCTGTAATGTCAGATATTTGACTAAATTCAGACTATCTTTCACCGTTTGTGTTAAACTGATGAATCAATACTGAGACGTTATTGATGTTTTGATAGCACAGATGTATCACAATAACTACAATTTGCCACTTGTAACGGACTTTAGTCAGTAAACTAAGAAGAGGGCTTAGCTTTTCAGTTTTTTTCACTACATGTTATGACGAAACTTTGCAGTTTTCTGTGTGCTGTTGGTTTGTCATGACTAAAGATCTCTCTATCTTTTTTTTTTCATTTTTTTTTTGCTTTTTTTTACTAAAATTTATTTGCAGTGAATGTGAGGGCCAACTCCAAGGATGGCATGACCACCGAGGAGATGCGCAAGCTCATTGAGAGGTCAGTAGAGAATGATAGCAGGGTTCAGTTGATCAAGTCTGTGGTGGTGGTCAGCTTCTGTGAGGCTTTGGTTATCTGCATCCAGATCATTTCTATTGGTAGTGGTTCTGCAAGTGTAGAGCACCCTATGATCATGTTAATTATCTAAATGAAGTTCGAAGGATTTTGCACTGTAAACTTTTGAGCGTGAATATATTCCTCTGTGAATGAATATGTTTCTTTGACATAGTGTGCTCTAAACTTGTAGGACCAGTGAACCATCATATTAACACTTTCCATATTGTGGCCCCACCTTGAAGTGTCCTAGTAGTGGCATGAGTCTACCCTGGTCTACCCATCACTCTCTGATGAAAATGAAGACTGCGTGGATTTAGTGAGGTGCAGCTGTGAGGGGGAGGGTGGAAAAACAAAGGCTTCAAGCGGAAAGTGTTAAATAATGCATTTAAATAAAAATAAATTAATACAATTGATTACTTTGGAAACAGCCATGAACTTACTAAACAAACCATAATATGGCCAACGTTTGTTTGTCAGTTCATTGTAGTGTACTTACTTTGCACTGACATCAATTTTATTAACACATTGGTCCCTCAATCAACAAAACTTCTTCATTTCCTTTTCTGTGGTGTTAGTTCAAGCCTATACCCTCGCATTACTCTTACAAATGCTTTACCTATTGCATGATGCATTTTCTATTTAAGTGAGGGACTAAAGGGCTTTCAATGTACTTTTTTGTTGACTATAGTACCTGTTGTATTTAGTTAATGCACAACTGAAACCTATGCAGTCATGAATAAAAACTCATATAAGTTAGTACCTATCAGTATATTTACAAAGAAATTTGTATGGTT